CCATAATATACTTGAATAAACGTATAAAAAGTAATAAACGAATTAACGAATAAACGAATAAAAGTAAATTAGAAAAAAAACTAATTTTTAAAGTAATTCAACAGATAAAAAACATTTTATTAAGAGAGAAAAAATGAATAAAATTTTCTTTAAATGTCTACAAGTTCCAAAAGTCATATTTTATAATAGATGAGCTGAATGTTGAACTGCAAGAAACAGGAAAGCAATCCTGCTGATTCAGCATTCAGAACCAYTATTTAAATGACAACATATTAAACGTATCTGTTGTGTTTCATGTTCTGATCTTAGGAGACTCTGCGGACCCTCAGGTGGTCCACAAACACAGAACATAAATCCTAAAGCTGGCTCCAACTTATCTACATTTTTCTGACCCCACCTCAGAAAATCTGACAAAACCTGAATGTTCCGTAATCTATAAGTAAATCAGAGATGTATGTAGGCCCAGGAGCCATTTTTTCTTTTTTCTTTTCMTTTTTAAAGGAGTGATAGGATTTTAAAATGTCCCCTCTGACACTCAGGGAGCCGGTGCTGTAATTAAAGAGGTGGAGGAATGTGAGGACTCTGACAGGAGCACAGCGGACAAACTGCAGCTGTCACAGGGAATAGTTTTACTTTAATTGAAACTAATGGAGGCACCTTAACTACTACCTGGTCTACAGCGAAGGGGAATGTTATCTTTGTCCTCTCGGGGCAGGATTTCTGTGATTCTCCTTCTGTTTTAAAGGAAACTGACGTTATAAATGTTATAAAAGAGTCCAAACCTGTAGTGCTGCCTCTCACTGGTCAGAGTGAAGCGGTCGTACTGAGAGTACGCAGAGTTTCCCTCCCAGTCCCTCAGCTCCACTCTCAGAGAGTACTGGCCCTGACTGGTCAGCAGGTACAAAACCTCGTTACCCAGCCAGTGTTCCCCCTGCACGTCCCCGAAACCCTGAGAGAAGCAAACAAATAAAAAAAAAAAAKAAGTTATTTTAAACTTCACAGTGATTATTGCTCTGATTCGGAGGCTTGCTGACCGTTTTGTACTCCCTCCAGCTCTTCTGGAAGTCCACGCTGCCGTTGAAGCGCCGCTGGAAGACCGTCCAGCCGCCGCCGCTCGTCTCCATGTCACAGTACACCTGCAGGACAGGAGGACAAACACACGCTCAGACCAGTAATAATCAGAATCAATTAGAACCAGGGAATTTACAGGTACTGAAGCTGCAACCGTTCATCAGAGAAATGTGAGAAAAAGAAATAAGAACACTAGAATAAAATCAGTATAAACACCCAGGATTACAAAATAAGCACACTAATTATACACAAGAGCAACGCACAATAAAAATAATAAAAATATTAAGAGAATGTGTACAGCATGAACGAGAGATGATATTTGGTATTTAGATAATAGACCAGGGGTGTCAAASTCATTTTCACCGAGGGCCAGAMGAGAAGGGCCACTTGTAATAAACTTTGATGTTTCATGTTTAACTTTGACTAAACAGAGTTTTAACACGTCCTCTTGTAAACACTGATAAGAACTAAGTGTATGACTGACTAAATCTGAAATAAATACAGAAATATTATTTAGTTTATGGTTGATGCTGACTTTAAACTGCTTATTTTCAGACATTAACACTGTACTATCCAAATAAATTGCTTAGTTTCTTAAAGCCAACAGCTCAGGGACAGGAATTTATTAAATTTATTTTTATTTCATTTATTTTATTAAATTTATTTTTGTCACATTTAATCATAAATTTAAAGTTTACCATTGGTAAAAGAAACAAATTTCATGCTAAGTAAAA